TTTATACCCTACAACACTATGTGTTGGGGGTATTATAAGTTTGATTGGGCCAGAATTTATGTAACACCTCGAAATATTTATTTCCCATATAGGAAAGTATATATGGATCTTCCTAGCTCGCCGAGCTGAGTCGATCTAGCTATGTATGTCCGTCCGTCCGTCCGTCCGTCTGTCCGTCTGTCCGTCTGTCCATGTTAATTTGTAATCACTCTACAGGTCGCAATTATGGTCCGATCTTCACGAAATTTAGAATGTAGGTGGAGCTTGGACCAGAATAGAACCCTATTGCTTTTGGAGATGATCGCCAAATGTTTAGGGGTTGAAATGGACCAAATACTGAAAAAATGTCGGATTTTGCAGTAGCTATACAGGTCGCAATTATAGACCAAATTTCGCATGTAGCTGGAGTTTAGGGAGGAGAAGAAGCCTACCAATTTGGGTGGGCATCGGATAATATTTAGCGGGTAAAATAGACCATATCTTTTGTGTTGAAAAAATTCAAAATTTTTCATTAAACCGTCAATATTTTAAATCCCGGCGAATTCACAAAGCCATCACAAGGTTACTTCTGACCTTTACATTGATGTTAACATCCAACAAATCGGATATATAGCAAAATATGTGCGATATATATGTCTATCAAAGAAGATATGCTTGAAAGATCTCTTATATGTCGAGAACGGCTGAACTGATTTCGACAGTTCTCATTAATTCAGAATGGCCTCTTGGCAGGAAAGAAAAAACGTCTAAAAAAATCGCATAAAAATATCTCTCTAAAGATGAAAATATTATTATTAAAATATTTTGTTAAATTTTCTCATATTTTTTCAATTTTGTCATATTTTTGGCATATTTTCATTTTGAATTAAACATTTGGTAATATTTCTACAGCTAACAAAACTAAGTAGTTAGTATATCAGGATATCATATACAGATCACATTTATGGCCCGATCCTTACGAAATTTTGCATGGGGATAAGATGAGGGTCAGAATAGAAGCCTACTCTTTTTGGAGATGATCGACATATATTTAGGGGTTGAAATGGACCAAAAGCTGCAAAATTGTCAGCAGGTCGTAATTATCGCCCGATCTTCACGCACATTTGAATGTGGGTTACCGGACATTGCAAAAGCCAAGCAGTTTTGGAAGACCATCCAAAAATATTCAATGTGTGAAATAGTTTGCCAACTTTTGTAGACAAAATACGAAAATGTCCATTCCAGAGACTTTTTGGAGAATTCACAAATACAGGAAAGGCGCACTTCTGACTATTTCGTTAAGGCCGATTTCTTTGAAGAATATAGTCAAATGTCTGTATCTCATATAGATGCGTTTCAGTCAAAAACCAATAATAAATGTTAATCTTTTGCCACTTGTGAGAGATTATAGGTCTTTGGGAAATATTGGTTCCAGATCTAGGAAGACCATTTAAGTGCAACATCTACCAATAAATTGGAAATGAGCAATTTAGTTTAAGTTGTTATTTTTCGAAAATTAGAGAACGAAATCTGATGGTTTTCTTTAATTATTTGTCACAATATCTTGTGGAATTCTGTCGAGTACTTCGCCTATATAAACTGTATGGTTTATTATAGTGTTGTAGGGTATTCAACGGTCGGCCCCGCTCGACTGTAGCCTTTGCATACTTGTTTAATAGTCATTTTGATCTAATTCCACTGAATTTTATATACTTATATAGGTGCCGGTTTCGGTGTGGAATTCCTTAATAATTGCCTCAAATCGGCTATGCTCACTTTGGTTTCTTTGGGGTTAGAAAAACTCATAACCTCACAGAAAACCTTAAGTATACGTATGTTAAAATTGTTCTGATATTGATGTGAAGGGAGCTTGTTCGATGAATTCCACGGTTCGATGTTCGATGAATTTCTCGCTAGTCCTCGAAATTTTGACACCGTCCTGTCTGTAGGTAACGTGTGTAACTGATTGATTAAAAGAAATACACAGTTTGCTTCATGATCCTATCCGCTCAGAATGAAAAATGCTTTGAGGGTGATATTGAAACATTTGGGAAAATGCATGTGTCCAGTATCCTTACTTATTTTAGAGATTTTCACATTACTTTGCTGCTGTGTCCTCCACCCAGGATAGTTGGGCTGATTTGTTACCATTGAAAGAAGTGGATACCTTCGAAACATATTCATGGCCTTAAAGTACTAGGAATGTTTCAATTCCGAAAATATATTTGGAATAACGCTTTTATTGAATCTCGAGCTATTGAAAGTAGTCTCATACTGAGTGGGGATTTGCAGCTTGAAATAAAGTCTAGTTACAGATCACCCTGTATCGATATTCCCTCCGTTAATAACTTCAACGCCAATGAAATAACAACGACGAATGGATGATATTGCCCAGGCGTTTCAATATTTGCTCTGCTTCATCTTCTTTTTTTTCTGAAGTAGTGTGTAACAGAATGAAAACAAAATTCAAACAATAACAGCAACACCAATAAAGACAGGCAATAAAACCGGGTGAAAAAATGGACTACGTTATAAAAAGGAACCGAAAAAATGCTTTCGTATATTTTTAAACATTTTTGGAAGAAAAAGAAAACAAAAAAGTGAAAAAAATAAGGGCACGTGTAGAGGTCTGTTTCGTTATTCGCATTTAACTGTGCGTATGTACAAAAGAATAACTGCCTCTGCTGCTGCCACGATATACTACAAGTTGTATACATAACTACCAAAGGATGTATTTATTATCTGTGTATATATTTGTGTAGCAGTATACATACATGGGTATTTATACAATGTATGAGTATATAATGTGGTTATGTGTTGAATTTATTGTATTTGTGTAGCATAACAAAGTAAATGGTTGGCATTGAATGTCAGGAACGTAATTATGGTGTCGTTCCAAAAGGAGAAACAAAAAACGAACCAGCAGAGAAACGAAAAGACTTTGCCATAATTTTTATGTTCTGCTTCGGCAGCCACTGCCGGAGTAGTTGTGTTTATTGTTGTTTTATATTTTTGCAAAATTTGCGAAAAAAAAAGAAAACGAAAACATCTCACAAAAAAGGCGATGACGGCGACGACGACTACGATGGTCGTCCCCCTTAGGGCCATGTTGGCGGTGTCGGCGGCATTCATGGTGTTATTGATGGTGGCTGTTGTACGGTTTTTATATTGTTCCCATCAGCTACTCGTTATGTATGTGACCGCTCTACAGCCAGACTTTCCATGTTGCGGTTTTTTTCTCGCTGTCAATTTTGTCGTTGCAACTTTAACATTAATTTGCTTAAATTATGTTGAGACATAAGTACGTATGTTGCACAAATTCCATGTTTCCCCATATGGGTCGATTTGCGCATTGACAACTTTAAACGACAGTTGGAATGGCACTGTAGTTCTGGAGGAGATCTAAGCCAATGCGGAAATGAAGGAAGTATCACATCTGAATAATCACATGTGAATAATGTTAATGTATTTTGTACAGGTCAATTATATTCAGATTCTGGGTTCCCGATCCAGTGTCGCAAAATTTCGCTGAAATCAAGATTATCAAATTTAAAATTTTTTTACAGAAAATAACCGTATGTCACAACGTTACAGGGTAAGATGAAAAAAACTGCGACCAATTTCAGACTGCTGTCATTTCTAAGCCACTCGTCCGACAGCTATTAAATTATTCCAGTGACATCTGATTATATTATTATTGTAAACAAGCCTACAAAAGCATTTTGGTGAGAATTTCCCAGAAAAAAAGTTATTCGTGATGGAATTCGAGCGCGATAGTGTGATTTCTTTATATTTGGCTGGAAAACCACACGTGGCTATCGTTAGAGCACTCTAGCATTAAAATTTGAATAAATCTTTTGTGTCTCGTACCATCACTCGTTACTGTGATACTGGTAGCGTAGCCTGACGTCAGGGAAGGGCACGGAAGAAAACACCAACATCAGCAGAAATGGTTCGAAAAGTAAAGACTTTATCTAACCTCGCGTCGCAGTGGCCAAAAAATGGCTCGTGAGCTGAAAATATCGCAACATTCCATTCGGCAAATATTGAAAAATGAGCTCGGGGTAAAGCCATTGAAAAGTGCAAGAACTTACACCGCAACAGAAAGAAAATAGACTCAAAAGAGCAAGAGAGTTGCTTCGCTTGGCCGAAAGTGGTAAATTGCCAATTTTGGTTTTCTCCGATGAGAAAACATTCGTTGTCCAGCAGTTTTTAAACAAACAAAATGATCGTGTTTACTTGAAAATGTGCACCTTGGTTGGCCACCATAACTCAAGAGCCGGCTATGATGATGGTGTTGGCAGCCATAACAGTCGATGGTAGCTCTCCACTCGTATTAATCGACCGTGTCTTCAGAATAAATGCTAAATATTATGGCGAAAATATTCTGGACCCTACGGCACGCAAACCTTCTGGTCGCAGACCTTGGACATTCCAATAGGACTCAGCACCAACGCATTCAGCTCGCGGCACCCAAGTATGGTTACAAAATGAGGCTCTTCGCTTCATTTCCAGCGCACAATGGCCACCAAAATCTCCGGATAGCAAACCGTTTGACTATTGTGTCTGCAGTATTTTGGAAAGCAAGGTTGACACAAAAAATACAAAAATGTCGATCACCTTAAGCTAGCGCTTCGACGGGAATTGGACAAAATACCGCAGAGCAACATTCGGGCAGCGTGTGACGATTTTATTGGCCGTTTGAAGGTTATAATTCGTGCCAAAGTTGGCCAATTCGAACAAGTCTAAACTTTTTCTATAATTTTATGCTAATTCCGACGTTGTTTGTTTTCATTCAATAAAATTAAAAAATGTAAAAATTAAGGCGTTTGACTTTTTTGTATTTTTTATCTCACCCTTATTTTTATAGAAAAGTCGATGTTTGGGAAAATTTTTAAGGTTTCCTGAAAAAAATCGTCTGTTTGATTTTATTCAAGAATTGTCTGGCCCAAAAATCGAGTTATTTACTCTATGCTGTAAAGCATTTTTCCACTAATCCGAAAGTAACAAGTTCCACGGTGCACTGTTGTTCGAATTTATTTATGTAAATGAAATGAAAGTAAATGTTTACCACCATATACATATACGAAACGAACTTCTCGCCAGGCAAACACAAACACACAACAATATTCCATTACAAATGAGCGAAATGTCGAAAAAAATCGAAAAATAAAACCAAACGAGAAATGTTCAGAAAAAGTGTTATAATGTCACTTTTACAATGTTTGTTAAAAATGTTACCAGCGGCGGCGCTGCTTTAATGATTGTCCGACAGTCGGAGGATCACAGGATGAGTTGGGACCTTGAAACAAACGATAAGCATTTATTTAAATTAAAATACATTTTGTTACATATTAACATTTTGCCACCTTTTTTGTTATTCGCTGAAACACAATGATCCATCGACAGACCGAATTTATGGCGTATAATTTGTATAAAATGTAATGGCACAGAAACAATATCGATTAATTGACATTTTATAGTGCAAACAAAAAAAAAAAAAAAAAAAAAAAAACAAAATTGAACAGGATAAGTGTATACATGGTAAAATTAAGAAGCTAAAGTCATTTCAAATAACGATACCCACCCTTCTAATTTACCATTTCAATATTACTGCATGAAAAGCGATTCACTTCAATTTATAAGTATTAATTTTAAGAATGAGATGTTGAGATTGAGTGCTATATGAACACGTGGACCTGCACAGACAATTTTCTGTCTTATGCTGTAGTATTCATTACGAACTTCAAATACCAAATTTGAAACAATTCCGGGGAATAATATCGTTAAAATCATCAAAATACCGAATATCGGGAGGTACCGCTATATGGGGGCTATACGAAGATGAGGACCTGCACAGACACTTTTCTGTCTTATGCTGTAGTATTTATAACGAACTTCAAATACTAAATTGTGCCAAACAGGAGTGAAAAATTAAAATTTCGATGCCCTCCTTTTCAAAATTATGTCAAAATTTTCAATAAGTACAGGGTTGCCCATATTCGACTTGTCCGGAGTCTTGTCCGCAGGCAACATTCTTTGCGTCAATTGAATTTTGTACGGGAACAAATGCAAATCAATGCGAATAATCCGTTGTAAAGTGGACCGAGCCATGCCCAACTGCTGAGAACGGCGTTTTTGGGATGTTCTTGGAGACCTCTCAACACTGGCTCGTACGGCAGCGATATTCTCGGCCGATCACCTTGGTCGACATTTATATGGCCTCTCCGAATTAGAAAGAGCCTTAGCAGTCGAAAATTTTTCGTATGAACGCTTAATTCTTAGAAGGCGCACTTCTCACATTTTTTAATGTTTTAAAAGCACGTTGAGTTTTCACTATTGATTTCTTGTAAATTTCAACTATTTCAGAGCGCTCGCGTGGCGTGTATTGGTTCATGGTAAAAATCTGCTTGGACTGACGCTTCAAACGCGGTATGTCATTAAGCGGTGTGACATCTCTGTCAAAAGTTATGGCGATGCCAGATGGGTCCGTCAAATATGGGCAACCCTGTATCAACATAAAATCTACATATCGCAATAGTTGTGCCTAGGACAACCGCTACTACGTCGCCGAAAAGCCCACCTTAGATTCCTTCTAACAGTTCGTGTTAGGCCTTTTTAGTACTCAAAATGCACAACTTGTTTTGTTTGACAAAATGTTTTGATCAAAACTTCAAACATCGTTCTAAGTTTTCAAGGTTTTATTTATTATTCAAGTTTTTTCTTTTTCGGAAAGAATAATAGGAAAACGTTTAAACTTTACCCCAAAAAAAGTTTATCGAAGAGGATATTAGTAAAACCATTGCACAATGGACCTACATACAATTTTTCTGTCTAATAAACCAACAGTTACATCAATATCAAATTTCAAATATATCCCTTAATCCAATACCAAATTTAGTAACATTTAGTTCTCAAATCCCAACCAATCTGCATCTCTCAATTCTAGATAAACGTGATTAGTACTAAAAGTGATTCAAAATTAGTACTATGTAGTACTTGTATTTAGTACTCGTCGAAATAGTACGAATTTGCGAAACCACTACAAGATCTCAACACCAGCTACCAACACAGACCTCAATAACAAATTTTAGGATTCCAGATCTATCTCTTCACGCAATACTAAATTTGGTAGCATTTAGTACCTTTCGAACAATTATAGTAAGAAGTTTCTAAACAATATTTATACCCTACAACACTATGTGTTGGGGGTATTATAAGTTTGATTGGGCCAAAAATTATGTAACACCTCGAAATATTGGTTTCCCATATAGGAAAGTATATATGGCTCTTCCTAGCTCGCCGAGCTGAGTCGATCTAGCTATGTATGTCCGTCCGTCCGTCTGTCCGTCTGTCCGTCTGACCATGTTAATTTGTAATCACTCTACAGGTCGCAATTATGGCCCGATCTTCACGAAATTTAGAATGTAGGTGGGGTTAAAGTCAGAATAGAACCCTATTTCTTTTGGAGATGATCGCCAAATGTTTAGGGGTTGAAATGGACCAAATACTGAAAAAATGTCGGATTTTGCAGTAGCTATACAGGTTGCAATTATAGACCAATCGCATGTAGCTAGAGTTTAGGGCGAGGAAGAAGCCTACCAATTTGGGTGGTCATCGGATAATATTTAGCGGGTAAAATAGACCATATCTTTTGTGTTGAAAGAATTCAAAATTTTTCATTAAACCGTGAATATTTTAAATCCCGTCGAAACCACAAAGCCATGACAAGGTTACTTCTGACCTTTACATTGATGTTAACATTCAACAAATCGGATATATAGCAAAATATGTGCGATATATATGTCTATCAAAGAAGATATGCTTGAAAGATCTCTTATATGTCGAGAACGGCTGAACTGATTACGACAGTTCTCATTAATTCAGAATGGCCTCTTGGCAGGAAAGAAAAAACGTCTAAAAAATCGCATAAAAATGTCTCTCTAAAGATGAAAATATTGGATTTGTAATATTTTCTCATATTTTTTCAATTTTGTCATATTTTTGGCATATTTTCATTTTGAATTAAACATTTGGTAATATTTCTACAGCTAACAAAACTAAGTAGTTAGGATATCAGGATATCATATACAGATCGCATTTATGGCCCGATCCTTCCTAAATTTTGCATGGGGATAAGATGAGGGTCAGAATAGATGCCTACTCTTTTTGGAGATGATCGTTATATATTTAGGGGTTGAAATGGAACAAAAAACTGCAAAATTGTCAGCAGGTCATAATTATCGCCCGATCCTCACGCACATTTGAATGGGGGTTACCGCACATTGCAAAAGCCAAGCAGTTTCAGATGGCCATCCAAAAATATTCAATGTGTGAAATAGTTTACCAACGTTTGTAGACTAAATACGAAAATGTCCATTCCTGCGACTTTTTGGAGACGCACTTCTGACTATTTCGTAAACGCTGATTTTGTTGAAGAATATAGTCAAATGTCTGTATCTCATATAGATGCGTTTCAGTCAAAAACCAATAATAAATGTTAATCTTTTGCCACTTCTGAGAAATTATAGGTCTTTGGGAAATATGGGTTCCAGATCTAGGAAGACCATTTACGTGCAACATCTACCAATAAATTGGAAATGAGCAAATTCGTTTAAGTTGCTTTTTTCGAAAATTAGAGAACGAAACGTGATGGTTTCTTTTATTATTTGTCACAATACCTTGTGGAATTCTTTCGAGTATCTCGCCTATATAAACTGTATGGTTTATTATAGTGTTGTAGGGTATTCAACGGTCGGCCCCGCTCGACTGTAGCCTTTGCTTACTTGTCATACCTGAAACAGTCACACGCTGAACGAATGTTGCTCTGCGGTATTTTGGCCCATTCCCGGCCAAGTGGTTGCTTAAGGTAATCGACATTTTGGTAGTTTTAGTGCCAACATTGCTTTCCAAAATACTCCAGACACAATGTTATGAGATCCAGCCGAAGGTGCACATTACTCTATTCTAAAAGTACTCTAACGATAGCCACTTGTGGATTTCCAGCCAAATATAAAGAAATCACACTATCACTATTGAATTCCATCACGAATAACTTTTTTTCTGGAAAATGTTCACCAATGCTCTTTTACGCTTGTAAACAATATATTGAGCTGTAACTGGAATAATTTTAACTGTGGAATAATTTAACTGTTGTCGGAAGAGTGGCTTAGAAAGAAAGACTGCAGTCTGAAATTGGTTGGTTTTGGTTTTTTATCTCACCCTGTATATCTCACAGCTCTTCGATATTCCCCATTACCAATTTTAGTATTATTTAGTACAATTGTAGTACGAATATTCAAAACCAACACCTTCTCTACACCACATGCAACACCAAATTTAGTACTTTTCGTACAATTATAGTACACATTTCCAAGCCCACTTCAATACCAAATTTGAGGATTCCAGCCCTATTCCTTTACTCAATACCAAATTTACTACCATTTAATACTTTTGGAACTATTATAGTACATATGGCTCAATAAGAAAGGATTCTCAACGTGAAGGAAACCAGGAAAATGCAACTCTCCACTGGAGTCTTATTATGTCAAGTACACAAAAACTTGTATGGAATATTGGGGTAAAATTATACATTTAGTTGCTCGTTAACGTCTAAAATGCATTTCTGTTGTCTCTAAATTTTAAATATATCCAAACTGAGTATATGTTTTGACAAAATAGGGGCACTAAAAGAAAACAAGTTAAAAAGCAGTAAGTTCGGCCGGGCCGAACTTTGAATACCCTCAATCATTTGGAACGAATTTGGAAATTTTCAAAAAATAAAGTCCTTAAAAAATTCTGTTAAAGTTTTAAAAATACCGAATATAGCCGTTATATTGGGGTCTATACGACATGGTCCTACATAGTCCTTGTTTGTCATAAGCCATTACCATATTGAAATTCGAAACTTGAAATAAATGGTGAATAATGTGGCTAAAATCATTAAAAATATCGTATATAGGGAGGTTCTGTTATATCGGAGCTGTACGAATACCTGGACCAGCATAGACAATTTTCTTTCGCAGGCTATAGCATCCATTACGAACGTCAAATACGAAATTTCAAAAAATGTCGGTGGGTATTGTACCTACAGAATATAGGGAGGTACTGATATATGGGGCCTATACGAAGACCTGTACCTGCATAGAAAATTTTCTGTCACAGACTGTAGTTTCCATTACGAACTCTAAATACGTAATTTGAAACAATTCCGTTAAATAATGACGCTAAAAACATCAAAATACCGAATATCGGGAGGTACCGTTGTATGGGGGCTATACGAAGACGTGGACCTGCACAAATAATATTCTGTCATAGGCAGTAGTATCCATTTCGAACTTCAAATACCAAATTTGAATCAATTCCGATGAATAATGTCGCTAAAATCATCAACATACCAAATATCGGGAGGTACCGTTGTATGTGAGCTATACGAAGACGTGGACCTGCACCGATAA